CTTTCCTGCCTATGCAGGGGGTCGGACTCGATGATCTATTGAGGTCCCTTCCAACCCTAGCATCTATGAATCTATGCCATATACTTAAGTAAATATGGTAGCATGTCAGAAGGGTGAAATAGCAAGTACATGCAGTTCTTAGCTTATTAATAGTTTTAATACTTCAGTCTGAAGTCAGACTGTCGGTTGACAGTCTTGCAGTGTTGCAAAAGGAGCGGTTGAGAAATTACTGAATAGGATTTCATCATTTTCGTAGTCCTCACCCTCTTCTGACCCATTTTAGTATCTGTAGTTAGGGTTACTTAAGCGTGAAGAAATTGTATGGTGGGGTATCAGCTCAAGCTTCCTTCAACTTCTGTGATGCTGAGTAATGGAAATTGGTTGATATCGAACAGGTTTTATATAACTCCCTCTAAAGTAGAGGAAATACTTAACCTTGGTAAGTGGAGTTAAAATAAGCCTAAATATTTATATTAGATGACTCGCTATTTTGGCATAATATGAAAACATTAAGACAGTCAATGTACTGCTGTATTTGGTTAATCATTTTGCAGGATTTATATTCCCATTGTACTTCTTGCTATAGTTCCATGACAGCAAGATTAATGGCTTATAGTTATGTGATGACTTGGAATTTGTCTGAAGTAGTCAAGATCATAATGTTTGAGCAGAAAAGGTGCATCTTAAGGATAATTTACCAGTGAGGCAGTTTAGTGTAGTGGCATTCATAGGATTGTAGTATAGCAACTCTGAACTTTTGAGTCTTGGCTGCGCCATAAACTAAGACTTCAGACAGGTCATCTAGGGCAAGGCTATTCAATTTATTTGGCCCTGTGGTCCAGATCTGGACCACAGCTTCTTAGGGACCAGACAACCCACCTCTGTCAATGGGGGGGTGATGATTTGTTGGCACAGCTCCAAACTTGGGGGCTGAACATCACTGCCACTCATGCCTCTTCCACCCCCTTTTCCTCTGTTACTGATCTTAATCACCAGCAATGACCAAGGATTCTGAATTCAGTGGTAGGCAAGGGTCGTGGGGGGCAAGAATAATGGCGTTCACCCTCTGGAGCCATGCCACAAGCCCTGAAGGCCACATTTTAACACATCACAAGCCAAAGATGGCCCCCAGGGCTCTAGCTGGACAGCACTGATTTAAGACGTATTACACCGTCAAAGAGGACTGTGCTCAAGTGTGTCAGAGGAAGCCTAGAAAACTAATTCACACACACGGCACCCACAAGAATATACTGTGCTCACTTTTAGGGCAGTACTGGGTGTTCACCGAAAACTGTCTGGACAGGCTTACTGGAGCTCTTCTAGCAGTAATACATGAGTTTATCATGTACCTGTGGCCTAGATGTTTCAAGGTAGGCCCTCATATTGGAACTCCATTAGAAACTGTGGCCCCTGGAGATGCTACCAAACTGGAGATAACGCTTGTGTGGAAATGTACTAAATAGACAGGTCACATCAGCCTTTCAGTTACAGTAATGTTAATACATTTATTTGTTTTATAGTATATTTACTTTGTTCTTTAGACTACATCAGTATTTTAATGTATTTTCACAGTTTCCTTTAAGTAAGCAATTGGTTTCTCTTTCTCTAAGTAGACTGTTATAAACATATACAGGAGGCAGAAAATTATTTCCAAAATATCCAGTTAAATTAATTTCATTTATAATTTCAAGATAAGTTATTGAGAGGGTGCCATGTCAAACTAAAATTCTCTACAATTCTTTAATTTAATTCAATCAGTTCAATAATTCAATCAGTTTCCTTCTGTCTGCAGTAGGGATAATACTTCCAGTCTCCCAAGAAAGGAATAACAGTTAGTTTAAAATTCTGCACAAGCATATTGAGCCTTAAAGTCATAGTTTATGAAGTTAGAAGGTATGGTGACCCAGTATATCTCCAGTCCTATACTGACCTCAGTAACTTGTTTGACTATTGCATGCTTTTCAGAAAGGCACCCAATCTGGCTTTGAAGATATCAGAATATGTAGAATGTAACATTTGCTTTGCTGGTTTATTCCAGTGATTTTAAGGACTCACTGTTAAAAATGTATCTTAATTCTAATTTAGATTTTTCTGGCCTTGGCTTTCAGTAAATAGTTTTTAACATGCATTTCTCTACTGGATAAAAGAGTCCCTTTAGTATCCAGTATTTTCTCCCATAGACCATACTTCCATGTTGTAAACAAGTCATTGTGGTTATCTTCAAGTCAGACTGAGCTTTTTAAATCTGTGACTTCAATAGATTTCCTTCACCTCTCAAAACATTTTTGTGGCTTTCTTCTGAACATTGTCCAACTCTTCAAAATTATCTTTTAAAATGTGGATAGCAGAACTGCATATAGTAGTTCAGTTTTCACCAATGCCATGTACAGAAGTAAAATCTCCTCTATACTTTCACTACCCTATTTCTGTATCCAGAAAACCTGTTACCCCTTTTTGCTATGACATTGCCTAGCAATTCATATCAACTGTTGTGACCCCTAAATTTTTTCCAGAGTCACTATTTTATATTATATAATCTCCCATTCTGGAGATATGGCCTGTATTCTTTGTCTATAGGGGGTGAAACTTCACATTTAGTTATGCTAATATATGTTTTGATTGAATGGGCTTCACTAGACAGTTAATGCAGGTAATTTGCTCCACTCTCATTATTATTTGCTATTCTATCAGTGTTTGTGTCCTTACAGACGTTGTTAGCGGTGATTGTTATATATTTACTTCTAGATCATGAAGAAAAAGTTATAAATGCCATTGGGCCTAGTACTGATCCCTGCACAGCTTCACTAGAAGCAACTCCTTCTTACATTTACTTTTGGAGATCTGTTAGATCTTTATCCACTTAGCGTGAGACTTGGTGAACTAGATGGTGATATTTTTTTAATTGGAATGTCATGTGGTACTAAGTCAAGCTCTTTGGGGGGAAAAGAATTGCACTTCCACAGTTACTTCCACCATATCTTTTCAAAGAACAAAATCAAGTTTGTTTGACTTAAGCCCCATTTTCTATAAAATCATGTCTCCTGGAATGGATGATATTCTTATGCTTTAATTTTTTTATTAATTAAATCACCAATCAGTATTTCCACTATGTTGCCTGAGTTTGTTGTCAGGCTAAATGGCCTAGAATTACTTAGGTCATTCTTCTCTATTGGTCAGCGGTTCCCAAACTGTGGGCCACAACCCCAAATGAGGTTGCAACATCAGCGGATGGTTTGTGGGGGCTGTGGAGAAATGGGGTCATGCTGAGGAACTGGTGCCATAAAAAGGGTTATGCTGATGAAAAGTTTGGGAGGTACTGCTATAGGTCCTTGTGGTGTTATGTAAATATTATTTAACCATAATTAAGCATGTGCTACATTTACCTCCTAAGCCATAGTTTCTAGAATTGTGCTAATCAAAACTATAGGTTTCAGTAAGTCTCAGAAAAGATTTTTTTTTTTTTTTAAAGATCATGTGGGTAATTTGTTTCATTATTAGAGGTGCACTGATACATTGGTCCTTGTCATAGCAGCACTGATAAAAGGAAAATAGACATTATTGGCAATTGGCTTTTTTTGGCTGATGTGGTTGATAATGTTGGCAATACATGTTGTGTGTATGCGCACAGCTGCACCATGCAAACAACCAGGAGTGCAGCCCGGCAGCTTGGAGAGCAGCGTCTGGCTGGTAAGTCTGTGTGGGGGGAAGGGGCATGTGGGAGGGAAGAGACTGGAGGGGTGCAGATCAAGGCCCCCGGGGTGAGGGAGGGAGGGAGTGGGGCTGGGGCAGGGGCAGGTGCTGCACAGCCAAGGTGAGGTGGGGTGCAGGATGGAGCTGTGGCTCATTGGGGGGGGGCGGCTCCTACTGCTGTGCACACCCCCGGGGAGGCATGAGGGGCACGTTCCCCCTGGATCTGTGTGTGGGGTGGGGGCAGACTGCCGCTGTGTGCCCTGGGGCAGGCAGGGGTGGGGTGGGTGGCAGGGCTGGGAGGTGGCACTATGGGGAATTTGGAGTGGTTGTAGCTCACCCTATAGCTCCCCCTTCTAGTACAGCTTCCATCTACCCCGCCTGGACCCAGCCATGCACTGGGAAGATCCTGGCACAGCCCCCAGCCCTGAGCACACAGCAGGCAGCCCACTCTCACCCCATGCACAGATCCAAGGGGCACATGCCCCCCATGCCTCCTCAGGGGCATGCGCAGGGGTGGGAGCCACCTTATGCCCCCCCACAGCCCCCCGACGAGCCACAGCTCTGTCCTGCACCCTACCCACCCCAGCTGTGCAGCCCCTGCTCCTATACCAGCCCCACTCCCTCCCTCGCAACAGGGGCCTTCAATCTGCTCGCCCCACCCATGCCCCTTCCCCCCCAACAGACTTACAAGCTGGATGCTGCTCTCCAAGCTGCTGGACTGCATATTGGCAATCGGATCGGTATCAGCTGATGTGGTTGGTTAATAATTGGCAATCGGTATCAGCCTAAAAAATCTATATCAATGCATCCCTATTCATTATGCATCTTAAAATATCACGTTAGTTACTTAACTCCATGAATGAGAGCATTCTATAGTCTTTAGATACAAAGTCTCCTAATATCTATGGTTGAAACTGTATAGCATCGCAGTAAATATTCAAGTACTAGTTATCTAGAAAGTTAACATTAATTTTAATTTTTCTCCACTAGGCAGAGTATGAAGTGTCTTCAGATGAAAAGCGTAAAGATTGTGGCCTGGAAGTTCTAGCGAAATATTTCACCAATGGGGTAAATACATCACCAAACTGTCTAGTAAGACCCAAACAACTTAAAGGTTAAAACATTGTAACAATTTCCCTTTTTGCTTTTATTGTCCTAAAGTAAATTAAGTTCAGAATGATTAACAAACTGTCATTAATGTTTTTCATTCTAAGATGTAAACTGTTTTCATAGATTATTTTAAAACTGCATTTTGAGTCAAAATTTCAACTACTCCCCATTTTTTTTCATTGCCACCATGATATTTTACTTATCAATTTTAAATGTTTTTAACTAATAGTCCTGATTAAAGGGAAAAAAATTTAAGCTGCACTTAAAAATAAGAGTAGTTAAACTATTGTATTAAAATACTTCAGAGTAATAGGTTCTGTAGACATTGGAACTGACTAAGGAATTCCTGAGTTTTAGACCTGGTTTTCTTGCTGACTTGTGTGCCTTGTGCAGTTAGTCAGGAACATTAAAAAATGTTTTGAAATACAGAGTATTTTTTGAGAGATTTAGGTACCCACATCTCCCACTGACTTCACAAATATCTGATCATTGATTGTACTGGTGGATTTCATGGATTTCCTATTCTTTTCTAATGATCTGAAGCTCTGTTGGGAGTATACAATTTCCTTCCTCTGGGTTTTCTATACCTCCTATACCTCTTTTCTATACGTTCTTGCTATTCCTTCCCCTTTTCCAGTTGTTCTGATTATTTTCAGAGCTTTATATTAAAAAGTCTTTCAGATTATCCTAAAAGTGATCAGTTTCTGATTTAGTTGCATTTCTTCCAGGAGCCTATTTCATAGTTGCCCTTGCATAGATACAAGTTTGCTGAAAACTGACCAGGCCTCTGTAAGCCACCTAAAGCCATGTGTCCTTGGTTTAAAATCTGCTAAGCTGAACTGTTTTCTTCCATAACATACCCTTTAGATAGCTCCTAAAAAGCTATTGAGTTGTTGACAAGTTTGCTTCCTAATATACTTCAGTAGAATCATGTTGAAAAATTTGTATTGCTAATGTGTTCTGATACTGATACTCCATAATGGAAAGCAAAGGTAAACTCTATTAAAATTTGACTGTTTGTTTTCTGGCTTGCTGGCAAGTCTGGTATCTTTTTTTTCTCCCATGGTGTGACTTCTCTTTTTTTAACAATTGTTTCACTGGAGAATTCCTGCTAACTTATACTTCACTTTTTTTGAATTTTTGTGGCTTTATGTGAAGTCTACAGCCCACTTACCAGAAATACCTCAAGATACAGTGGATGAATGCAAGGCAAGGTTGGAGAAGAATCCTTCCAAAGAACTCTTTAAGGACTGCACAAGGTATGTGGTAAATGTCCAGTACTAAAGCTACGGACTCCAAGTGTACTCTGCTAACAATTTCATGATGTTGGGAACTCTGGAAAAGATCTGGAAAAGAGCAAAATAAGCTAAAATATGTGCAGACTACTCACAAAGCAGAGAAAGTCTTTAAGAAGAATCGGGGGGAAACATTAAGAATGAAAACGGTTAACCCTGCAACTTACTAGCAAAACTAGTGGGGAAGTATGCTTAAGTCATTTGAAAGCCTATTAAAAAACAAAGAAGCTCTTCAAGAGATGGTGTTTGAAGATTTTAATATATGTATGACATGCTGTCTTTTAGGAGTATATTTTTTATTTTACTTACAGAACTCTTGCAATTGGCTGTAAAATCTTCTACAGTCAGCTTATCTGAATTGGGCAAAACACTTGTGTTACTGATAGCCAGGGATCTGGGTGGGGCAGATAACGTGGGCTTTTCTTCTTTAAAGGGGAAGTGCATGGGAAGCTGAGTGTTTCCTTTGCAGGCTGGCAGAGTTTCAGCCTGCAAGGGGCTGCTGGGGGATGCAGGATGCAGGGCAGGGCACCATGTCTATGTGTGTGCATGCATGCGACCAGCAATACTGCCAGGCAGTGGTGGAGAGCAGCTCCCCCAGATGCCTGCAGGTAAATCTGGGAGGGGGAGGGGAGATTTGCGGCAGTGGCAGCCATGGTGAGGGAGGGAGCAGGGCAGGTTTGGTAGCTGGGGCTGAGGGCCTCAGCTCTGGGCCTGGCACTGGGGTGGGAAAGTGTGGCTGTGGGGCCTGGCTGGGAGAACAGGACAGAGCCACAGGTGGTGGCTCACCTGGAGGGGTGGCAGGGGGGCTGGCTCCCTGTCACTGCACACACTCCAAAGGAGGGGTCGTGCGCCAGAAGTGACACTGGGGGGGGTGGGGGGCACATGCCCCCCAGATTTGTGCCCCCACAGTGGGGCATGGGGTTGCAGCCTGGCCACCTCTGCATTCTAGCAGGTCGGTCCCAGGACAGGAAAGTGGGGCAGAGAGGCTGGGTGGCTGGTGCGGTCCCCCGCCCCAC